AAAAAATAAATAAAAGATCAATGAAAATATAACAACAAAAATAAAAGAAAAATGTATAAATTCTAAATTAAAAAAAATTAATAATTTGAAAAGTAAAACTATAAAAAAAAATATTAAATTATATAGGTAAATAAGTAAATAGTGAAAAGACTTCAAAAGGGTATCGGTCTCCTCACTTTGGAAAAAGGTTGCCACTAAAAATTTACAATACATCTAGGCTGAAGGATCTGCAGATCTCTATTTCTTAACGTCTCGGGAAGAAATCATTGATTTCTTAAAATCAAAATTTCCATGAAAAAAGAGCTACATTCACCCTTGTTGCAGAAGGTGAAATTAAAATGAAAAAAAACATCGAAAAGTAAATTTTTCATTTTAGGTGTTCCGCAAACGTAGAGATTCAAAACAATCAGATACAAAACTTGCTGAATTTTCAAGAAGCAAAAATACAAGAAAATATTTCACTTCAATCTATGGGATTTAAATGACGTGAAATAAAATACATAAATATGTCTTTTTGTTTGTTGTTCGGGCAGTTTGTTTCAAGTGCTAATAAATTTCACCGAGATCATTTAGCTTAAACAAGAAAGTGTTCTGTGCTGTTCAAGAGATAAAGCTTAGGGTGTTTGGTGCTAAATGAATTGATTAAAAGTGGCTAAAAGGTGGTTAAAGTCCAGCGGGATCATGAAGGGTATATAAAAGTGTATATAAACATACGTTGGTCATGTTGGACGTCGTTAGGCTCATTTATGCTTCCACAGTTGTTCCATAATTGCTTTATCGACCTCATCACTGTTTCTGAAGGCCAATACTCAGTGGACATACTTGAAAGACTGCAGACAGCAGAAATACTCGTCGTGTTTATATATTTTACGATAAACATTCGATTGCTAATTTTATAAAAAAATGTTGTTTTACTCAGCTTTTTCACTAAATTCATAAGACAGTTTTGAAGTGTTTTGAAAGTACACAATTTTATGCGGAATCAGGTTTCGAAACATGGTAATTTCATATGTGAAAACGTGGTGAAGTTGAAGTTGAAATGAATTATGTAGAATGTGGAATGAATAATAATAAAAAAATGTAAAATTGAAGTATTTTCATTCTACTTTCACTCGGAAGTGAGATGCAACGCATGCCTATCTGATTCATTGCATGGTTTGGAGGCCGTTTGTGTCGGCTAACTGTGTGTTTCTACAACGACCGATTTCATTTGACGTGTCTGTAAGTGTTTCATCTTTTATCACCACTAACCATATTTTAACGATTCAGCAGTGATTTGAAAGTGGGGTTACGATTCTTAAGGTTTTTTGTAGTTAACTCATGCGGCACCCACACATCGTGGTTCTTTGTGTATCCAGCTTTTCTAAAAGGTTCCAAACTGTTTTTCGGGAAATGTTTAGCGTCTGGACAAACGAAATAGTGCTCGTATGATGATTAGACTCGACGCGTCCCATTATTTTATCGACATTCTCGACGATTAGTCTTTCATATCCTGATACATCCTTTACAACAAAATTACTGGAACCAAATTGAGGCAACCAAAAGTGTGCATGTTTGACTGCTCAAGCTGTATCAGGATAATAAAGGTGAAAAATGGTAGAATATAGCATATTTTGATCCAAGCAGAGTTATTTCTCTAAAAGCCTTTTTTTTGACAGTTAACGTGTGAGTCGTGTCAAGCTGGCATGTAATTTGTGTTTGGGATTTCACCTTAGAAAGACCTACGCCTGAAAAACGTACAAAAATTGTCGATTCGGCGCCGTTCGCTGCAACTCGGACTGACGTATGGAACGACTTGGCGTCTTTCGTGTCGAGATCTTACATTGTAAGCGTACAAAATACAGCTTGCGCAAGAACTGAAGCCACACGACCATCCCAAGCGATATCGCTTCGCTCTATGGGCACTTGAAAAGTACCAAGAAGATTCAACGTTTTCGAGCCAAATTTTGTTCAGCGGTGGGACTCATGTCTGGCTCAATGAATTTGTGAACAAACAAAATTGTCGCATTTGGTACGAAGAGCAACTTGTAGAGATTCAAATGCTGCCATTTTATTCAGAAAAAACAACGATTTGGTATGGTTTGTGGGTCGGTGGTATCACCGTTTCATAATTCTACAAAAATTATGCCGGTTAGAAAAGAAGAGTCAATGGCAACCGTTATCGCACGATGATAACCCACTATTTGTTGTCTGAAATTGAGGCTCTTGATCTTGGCGGTATTTGGTTTCAACAAGACGCCGCGTAACTCTCCGCACATCGAATTTATTGGGAGAACACTCCGGACCCCTGCGGCTTAGGGGCTCAAGAATTTACCCGTGGTAAGGCATGCCTGTCGTAAGAGGTGACTAAAATCCAATAGTAACCGCAACTGTTGGGTCGTTATACCGGAATGACCCGGATTTTTATCCGGCCAAAGACTGTCACTCCTGCAATATTCTCCGAAAACAACAACAGAGAACACTTCGATAAGCAGATAATTTTACATTTGGCCGGTCAATTGACAACCAAGATGGTATGATATCACATCGCCAGACTTCTTCCTGTGGAAATATGTAAAGTCTAAAGTCTGTACGGATAATCCCAATTCGATTCAGATCTTGGAACAAAATATCATAGGTGTCATTCGCCAGATATTGTACTTATCGAAATGCTCGCAGTAGTCAACGATAGCCAACGATTGTACTCCACGGATGGACTCTCTGACACGTAGCAGAGACCAACATTTGAAAGAGATAATCTTCAAAAAGTAAATGCAGTAAATGAATATTCTTTCGAATAATTTTTTTTTTTAATTTCTGTGTTTTTTCGTTAAAAAAATGGAGAAATCTCGTAATTTATTCACTTTTTAGAATGCGGCATACATATCACTAAGCCAAGTATTGCAAAAATAATGGATTATCTTTTACTAGACCAATATATAAGGAAAAAAAATTATTTGCAAAAAAACATTGATGATAAGGAAATAAAATAACAATAAAATTCAATTATAAAATTATTTTGAAAAGAAGCCATGCCTCAAATACTCTGCAGTCCACAGACCAAAATCCGATATTACATAATTCAAAAAGAATTGAAGAATGTCAATGTGTTGTCAAACTAACTAAAACCAAACCAATGTCAAGGAAAATAATATTTGCAATTATTTTTCGTTTCTCGACTTTGCAGCCACTTGAAACCTAAAAGCGAAATAATTGAAAAAAAAGCGAAATAAAATTCAACAATTTTGTGTTATCTTCTTTTGGCAAATAGTTTGCATTTTTTGTTTCTTTTAAAAAGAATTTTTATTACTCAACATTATTTCATATATGTATGTATGTATATTAGATTTTATATATATATATATATATATATTTGTAACATAATTTTTTATATTAATGAATAACTAATTAGTGCACTCCATTGCTTACTGGTTGAACTAAAATTATGATTTACATACGCGTATGCATGTATATATATATCTACATATGTAGTATGTTATTGAAATATTTTCTTGTGCCTTGACTTCATTTGTGGTTGCTGCAATTTGGAATTTCTTCTTACAGATAAATGAAAATTTTTTTTTTTTGTATTTTACAATATATATGTATATGTAAATATTTGTATGTATGCATTTATATATTTGTATGCAAAATTTACTTAATGTGTAATTCATGTAGTTTGTATATGAATGTTTGTTATGTGTATGCATATATATTTACATGCATATATGTATATAGTATGTGTTTGTATGTATGTATGAATTTAAACAGTGACACACGTTTTATAGTGCATGTAGGTATGTATGTATGTATGTATGTATGTATGTATGTATGTATGTATGTATGTATGTATGTATGTATGTATGTATGTGATTAAACGCTAATAATAACTAGAATTTAATTTAGGTCTGGCCTTTTAATAACACACACAACTTAACATAGCAATCTACGTATGTACATACATACTTATGTATGTACATATATACATACATACGAGTACATTACTGGCTTAGGGCGTTAGGTTGTGGGATTTGTTACAGTTTATTTATTTAGTTTATTTTCTTTTATTTATGTATAAAAAAAATGGATTTTATTTTGTAAAATTAAGTTCGCCTTGCTTTTGGTACAGAGTTGTTTGTTTCATTGGATTTCATATGAATATATATTATGTTTTTATTTTTATTAATAATTTTTTTTTTTTGAATTTTCTTAATATTAACACCTTTGTTATTTTCGCTCATAATTTGAGTTTCTTACCATCTAAGTATTTTATAAATACATAAACACATAAACATACATATGTATGTACTCCTGAACTGTAAATAGCCGTAACTAACGCTATATTTTTTTTTTTGCAACGCTTGAGGTTTACATAATCTACATATGATTTCCATTAAAAAAATGTCATACCATTTACAATATTTATAAAAAAGGAAGCAAATAAATTTTCAGTTTAGTTTTCTATTTATGTAAATACAAAAGATATATTTTCGTTATTTAATCTAATTTTTAGGTATTATTTATAAAAAAAAAAACTGTGTTAGCCAACAACAACATATTATGTCACAGCTGCTTTAAATGACACTTTAATTTTCGCTTAAAACTAAAATTTGTTTTTCTTGTTGCTTTTTGCAATATGTATGTATGTATGTATATGTATGTATTTTATTCATGGCGCCACATATATTTGCTTGTGCTACATTTATTTTATATATGTTTGTATATTGAAGTTGCAGTTTGCTCCACCACCAAACCTGTAGGAAAAAAGTTTCGCGTGCCCACGACACACACCGCCAAATAATCACGCATAAATATGCATGTGCATCTGTGCTGCCAACCACCGTCGCCACTGCGCCACTGCACCACCGCCGTAGCTTATCGTTCGTCGGCGTTCGGCACCACTTCGACCACGGACACCGCCTCCGCCGTTGTTGTCGTCGATGTGGACGAGGAGGTAGTCGAAGCTGGTGACACATTGTCGGCGTTGTGTGCCACTGGCGGCTCTACAATGCTCGGCGGCAACACGAAACTTTTTCCCACAAGTTGATCTCATTTCAGCCCCGTATCGCTTGTCGGCGTCCATCGATCGAATTCAATACCCGAGTCCGGTGACACACCAGTCGCCGCTTTGGCCAATTGTGCCATATAACCGCCCGTTTGCATGCATTTACAATCCGTTGCAATGCAATTGCATATGAATTTCGAACCCATTTCACCGGCACACCGTCCGCCGGCCATCAATGTGTTGGCTAAACTCGCCTGTGCGGTACAAGATGGCACACTAACACTACCGCCACCACCACTCTCATCCATGGCAGTGCATTCATTGTTGACGCTGCTGCCGCCACTGCCGACACCAGCCGGACGCAGTTTGCGTTCGAATGAATGCAGCTGTTCCATGAAATGGAAATTGGGTGCCACGTCTGGTTTGCGATCGCGCACCAACGTGAATGCGTCATTTAGACTGAGTGTGCGCGTTTGCATGAGATAGGCGAGCGTTACTGTTACGGAGCGGGAGACACCAGCTAGGCAGTGTACAAGTACAGCCGCATTATTGGAGCGCGCTTCTTCTGCAAGAGAGATCGGAAGAGTGGAGGTGATCAGTTTCCGTTAAGTGAATTCTGAGCAGTTACAGTGACTTACCTATAAATCGTATAGCATCTGGAAAATGTTTGGCCAGATCTTGGGAATAGTGATCAGTGATTGGAATTTGTAAATACTGAATGTCGCCGGAGGACTCGAAGACGTTTGGAAGATCCGGTGTGACGTTTAGAACATACTGAAAGGAATGAAGTGGAAATTTTATTAGATCTGAAGCTATAAATTAATACATATGTACATACATAATTACGCATGACTATTTGAGATAAACTAGCGGAAAGTGAAAAGTAAGTGTCTGAGGACTAAGACGCCACCCCATTTACCGAAAAAGAGCTTACGAAATTGTTGACAGACTCTCGGTGAATGGCGTTTACGCCCAGTCGGTCCGTTGTTGTTGGTTAATTTAAGTCACCCAGGTCGTCTTACGCGAGGTCCAGGAAACTAGTTGTTTCGAGGGGTGCGGACCAGAGGGAGGGCGTTAGATGTGTCGATTTCAGGAGGCATTCAAAGAGATGGTTAGTGCCGCGCGGAGACACTCTACATGCAGGGCATACGTTAGGTATGTTCGGGTCGAGTATGGATAAGTAGGAGTTTAACCTGCCACAGTATTCGAGAAAATTAGAGCTCTTCATCTGCTATGGATGGTGATTTAGTTACGAGTATACCATTCACAGGAAGGGAGTCTCTGAAGGTGTTATCTGACTACTGGTGAACGGCGTTCAGTGCCTGGCTGTTTTGCAATTAATGCTTCATCAAGAGGTGTCCTGTCGCGGTCTTAAGGTCAGTGTTCCGGCAAGAATTAAGTTTCTTCATATACGCCTCGTTCGTCTGCAGTGCCCAGATCGGTGCACATTTGAATATTTTGGTGCGGATCTGGAGTTTTGCGGCAATAGCGGTCGTATGCGGTCAAATGTTACTCCCCTTGTTTTTGGGTTATTTATGATGACAATTTTTACGCCATAGACCTTCACATCTATTTCGTACCTGCATTCCTTCTTTCAGCTTTTGAAAAGGGTAGCCGATGATTTGGTCGGTTGAATTGTAAGCTGTCGTACAGTGAAGAAGTGGGGCAGGTCGTTGAGATAGTTTTTTACTTTCGAACGAATATCTCTTGGCCAGATGCCAATATCGATTAGTCATAGATATATGAGTTCAGGAAAACGCACGCTGTTTGTGGAGGAAGATCCGAAATGAAGAAATTAAACAGTGGGGAGAGTACACCACCCTGCGTAACCCCTAGTTTAATTTTTTGAAGTTTATATTTTGGATATTGAAACTTTTACCGATGGCTGTAGGCCACTCTTGTGGTTCATGGACTATCTCTTCAACCGCGGCAGTAACTAGGATTGCTCAATAGCCGGCAGTAGCACTGCCTGGTTGATCATGTCACGAGCTGTTTTTTCAGAACAGTTCGCGCGAATTCGGTAAAGGCCATAGGCTCAATTAGTGTCTTAATAACGTGAGCAGTAATACCCTGATTGTCTTCGCTAATAGCGAAAGTAGGGATATCAGCCAATAGGATTCTACTTTGTTAGCTGAATTCTACCTTGTTTGCAACTCACGGTATTTGCAACTCATGGTAGGTCCTATCGATTTTCTTCCCTTTGTAATCTGTACGATCACATTGGATGTGGTTTACCAGTTTAAACATTAACTCGTATTTTGCTGGTACGGATGGTATAGAAGGTATTCCTTGCCTTTCAAGCTCAGCATTGGTTATTATAGGCAGACGCCAACTCGTTAGGAGATATCGCTGCAATCTTTGATCTCTTTATAAAGTGAGTAAAGTATGTTTGGCCTTACTTTAGTTAGCCTTGCTTAGACGTTTTTGGTAGCATCCTAAAGTGAATGGAATTTAGGTAAACTATTGGCCCGCCAACTATCAGTTGAGATACATATCAACTCTCTCTAAGACTCAATTTTTGTGGAGGAATCTCTGCCCCTTACATAAAAAATATCACAACGCCTTTCATTTCACAATTTCCCCTCACCTTTATATTGTACCGTTGCAGTGCGCGTGAATCACAACTATGCGATTCATTGCCAAGAAACAGGCCTGGAATGATCTCCACAGGTGCCTCATTGATATTGTGATGTGTGGTGCTCTCACAATCGGAAGATTCAGCGGAACTACTGCAGGTGGAATCAGAATGTGGTGTTGATATTCGCAAGGATCTGTAGGAGAGGAACAGAAGAAGTGAAAATATTCTAATTCCAGTTTGAATGCGGACAAAAGTGAAAAACCCTACCTCAGACCCATTAATTGGTCAGCCTGTGTGCTGCGACTAGATTCCATTTCTCTGTTTTGTGCACTGTCATCTTCACACCACTCGGGAAATGCTTGACGGAAGCTGGAGAAACCATCTGAAATAAGAAAGAATATTAGTTAAGTGAAGATATAAAAAATAAAAAATAAAAATTTAAAATTCATACTTAAAAATTATAAAATGAAATAAAATAGAAAAAATAAAATAAATTTAATTAATAATAAAAAATTTTAATAATTAAAAAACTGACTTAAAATAAAATAGTTCTAAATAAAATGATATAAGCCAAATTTAAATAAATAAAATAAATAAAAAAATAGGAAAATAAAGTAAAATTAAAGAAAATAGAATGAAATAAAATAAAACGAAAAAAAAATAAAATAAAATAAAATAAAATAAAATGAAATAAAATAAAATAAAATGAAAAAAATAAAATAAATTAAAATAAAATAAAAAAGATAAAATAAAATAAAATAAAATAAAATAAAATAAAATAAAATGAAATGAAATGAAATGAAATGAAATGAAATGAAATGAAATGAAATAAAATAAAACAAAATAAAATAAGAAAAAATAAATAAAATAAAATGAAATAAAATAAAATAAGGTAAAACAAAATAAAATGAAATAAGATAAATAAAAGATAAATAAAAAATAACATAAAATAAAGTAAAATAACTTAACATTTTGTTTTCTTCTTATCACCACAATAAAAAATTCTATGAACGAACAAAAATAAAATGAACTTAAGAACTTATGCTGTGGTATAGCTATGTCATTAGTCATACAATACATAAGTATGTAAATGTTCAGTGATACTGTTCTTTTGCGGTTTGGGAACGAAAATTGTTAAAAAAAATGTGGTTGACGTCATTTTGTTGTACTTTGTTGTATTTTGTACAACCCACTGACCTTTTGAGTTTTCATATTTGCATTTCCGCCAAGAATACCACAAAATAACAACAACAATTAAGGCATACATATATATGTATACACCCACAAGCGTCAAAAATGCCCACTTGCTATAAATGTGGCTTCTATGTACTTACTTAATGAGTGAATATTTGAATAATGATTACCCAGCGAGACATTTTTTTTTTGGAAAATTTACTTTTTTCATGTTTATTAATATTATTATTATTATTATTATTTATTTTTATTGTTATATTTATTATTATATTTATATTTATATTTATATTTATATTTATATTTATATTTATATTTATATTTATATTTATATTTATATTTATATTTATATTTATATTTATATTTATTTTTATATTTATATTTATATTTATATTTATATTTATATTTATATTTATATTTATATTTATATTTATTTTATTTTATTTTATTTTATTTTAAAAATCATGCTTTACTCATTTAGTAAATGGCTCTGAACGGCTGATGGGATAGGATGACAGAAAAATGGAAGCTTGTTTTTTCGGACCGCCACGGGATATAAATCTTGTCGAGAATGAAAGATTTCCGTTTGAAAAAATTATGTAAAGATACCTTATTTAGAGACAAATAAAAAAATTCAATAGAGAAGTTTTCGTTAAAAAAAAAATTCCAAAAATTTCCCTTTTAGTTGCTCAAAAAGGCACATGTCGATTGGTCGAGAGAAATGTTGAAAAAAAATACGGTAGCGGTGCTTCGAAGCACATCTATGACATCGTAACAGGTGATGAATCTCGAATTTACGCTCACAGTTGACTGTATGGGTGATTAAATATGAGCCGAATCCAATAAAAGTTGTTACCCTACGAAGCACGGGTTATAGCATGGACCAAACAAATCTGATGTGTGATCCCTAACCACATACGAAACAAATGTCTAAATTTGATTCGAGCCATAAATAAGATTTATTCGAATAGATCGGCTCCTGACACATTACCCGGAAACAACATTACTGTCGCCTTTAGAAACAATTTTTTTTGAATGGGAAGAAAATTATTACGGTAAAGGAAGTTTTCAGACAATAATGTATTATATTTAGCTTCAAAAAAATTTTTTTTAGTGTCCAAAAATACTGAATTTTTCCAATTTCAAGGTGAGTTTTCTGCAGCTGCCTTGCAGTCTGTACTCGTGAAACGATGTCTGTGATGGAGGTCGTGCGATGCATCTCAAACTGTCGAACCAAATTTTTTTTTTTAATTTTCAACAGTGTCTCTTCTATGTATGAGAACTAAAAGAAATACCGGAAAAGTTGTAAAATTCCACATTTTATCGAAGCTTGGAAAAAATCACTTTTTTTTTTTTTAAATCGCAGTGAAGTTTTTAAAATAATCAGCTTGAACAAAATAACTAAGCATAAATTGCAGCAAAAATAAAAAATAAATGCAATGCATTGAAGCTGGAAACTGGAAACTGCCAGCGTCCGGCCATTACTCACTTTCCTTGTGCTGACATCATTTGCAAGCGCTTAAATGGAACAGGCAGCGAGCGGAACAAACTTCACGCCATTTTCGTGAATTAAACAAATGCGTGTCTGTGCATATTCACTGGCGCAAAAGTATTACAAACGAACACACAACAGACATGCACACAACTCAAGCGTTTTTTTTTTTGGATGCGCTTGTGTGATTGACGCGCCAAAGTTGGAGAAAATCACGTAAAATGCATATAGAAAATAAATCGGAATATGATGCTACATTAAGAGCAGAAAAAGCAAAAAAAAAAAAACAAAAAAATTTTTTTTTAAATATATATTAAACAATAGAGATGCTTATAACATATTTATATGATGTATTGTATTGTATTTATATGATATGTATATGTAAGTAGGTATTTATTATGCGCCGAGTTTATATTGTTTTTAATAATAAAGCGTGCAAATAACGCGTTTTCTTTGAGCCATGAAAACAACACGCTCATTCATTCATACACTCGTGCGCAAGTACGCCAACTACACACATTAGGTATGTACATATGTATTTATGTCATATATGGCCAAGTCAGTGTGTTTATTTGTACATATGTATATTCCAGACAAAATGTTAATAGCCACAGAGCGACGATGACTGACGACTGACGACTGACTGACCAAATGACCGTTGTACTGTTGTGTGCGTTTTGGCATGCTGGTCTCATACATACTTATATACATATAATACATTTTAACTTAAATCGTCTTTTGTACATACATACAAACAAACCTATGCATGTAGGCAGGTAAAGTGGTTAGGTGGGCAGTCGGTGGATCATTTAGGTATCTATTTAGCCACCTGCCACACAGCTTATTACGCCTAACGGTCAGTCATTCACAAATTGCTGATCACGTTGTAAGGTATATATGAGTATGTTTTACAATATGTATGTATTTTTATATTTTTTTTTGTTTTGGCGTAGAAAATGCGTCATAACCGGGTTTCATTGAAAAACAAGAGATTAAATTTTTTTATTATATAGATACATATGTATATGTATGCACATACTTCCAAACAAGTGCTGCGTAAGTATTTATTTACAAACAAAAAATTTATAAAAAAAAAATAAAATTCTAAAAAATAAAAAAATAACCCAGCCACTATTTTGCTAAGGTGGCAGCAGAGATATTATTATTTTATAGCTTCGCTTTCTTTTCCGGTAGTCGCTCGAAACGGAAATGTGCGCTACCCGCACAAATGCCGCTAGTTAAGGGGGAAAATTGTATAGTTCAAAACTGTGCTCATTTTTTTATCTATTCGGCGAAATGACGGTGTATGCATATATGTATATATGTAAATATGTATCTATATATGTATGTATGCAGATAAAGAGGAAATAAAAATAATTATAAATGAGTTTTATAGCTTCCATGTCGGCGCTTTTTAAGTAATTTTTAGTAATTTTATTCGAATCTTACTTTATGTTGTTCAATGCATTGAAATTTCGGGCAGAAAAGCATGCAAAGAAATGATGAACCTCTTGTATGAGGGTGTTATAGGAGGTGTGGGTAGAACCATTGACCTCCTCAGTCTCCCACTCTCAAAACTTCAAAAAAAATATTTTTTCCTTAAATCTATTTTAAAAATATCCAAGAATATATTTTCAAAATTTCAGTGTGGTCAGCGCAATATATTTTAGAAGCTGGAGCAGTTTTAGTGGCCAAACGTCGATTTCGCAGCGCGTTTTCTCGTGTTTTCATTTTTTCAAAGTCTCAGAAACGGTTGCTGGTGTAGCAAAAAGATGATATGTTCGATCAAAAAAAAAAAAAATAAAAATAAAAACCAAGCTTCAGTACTAAAAATTTGAACTAAAAAAAATTGGACAAGAGTATTATTTAAACTATTTTTTTGCAACTTGAAATGATTTTGTTTCTGCCAAAAGGTTAATTTTTTTTCAAGCTTCGAAAATATGTGGAATTTTCCTTTTTCGGTATTTCTTTTAGTTCTTATACATAGAAGAGACACTGTTAAAAATTAAAAAAAAAATTGGTTCCACAGTTTGAGATGCATCGCACGACCTCCATCACCGACATCGTTTCACGAGTACAGACTGCAAGGCAGCTGCAGAAAACTCATCACAACATCTCACGAGTTCATCAAAAGCGTTAAAAAAAAATTTAAAAAAGGTTATGTAATAAATCGAGATGAGACGATTGATTCCAAATCACCAATTCGGTTGTAAAAAAAAGGAACACTAAATAATAGAACCTTGGAACATTAAGAATGCTGCTCAGCTCTCTTTTAGTCACTTATCTCACGCCTTTAGCAGAACAAAGCACAAGGGCCTGTTATATGAAATTAATAAAAGAGCTGCCACAAAACTCATACCTACAAATAAAATCATATCTGTGCCAAAAAGGAAGAGAAAATGCAATGTTCCCATTACAACGGTACTTCATTGTAGGAAAATTGGATACTTCTCCAGTAATTTTTAACGTATCTGCAGGGACAAAGTAGAGGAAGAGTCTGTCGAACACTACCTCAATCACTGTCTAGCCATTAGCAACACACAACAAAAAGATCTAGGACATCTTTGACTGCCTGGCTGACGTAGCAACGGCTGGTAGAGGTAGTACGTGGCGCTTGTAAGGCACACTGAATGGTTCCTATGTCTGAAGGTGAAAGGTAGTCCACAGCGGTGCCATAACTAAGGCCTAAGTGCGCTAGT